TGGAGGGGAGCAAGGTGCAACAGCCTTGCTGAGTTCAGAGGGAGCAGTCAAAATCAACTGATGGGGACGTGCATCCCAGGCAGAAGGCCAGCATGGGCAAAGCACAGGAGTACCCAAGAACGTGACAAACTCAGTTTTACTCTCTGGAAAATACAGGGGTTGGACCCCAGTGCCTGAGTCTCCTAGCCTGACGTTGCTCTATGCTAAGCCACTCTGCTCAGGGAAGCAGTGGTCTCTGTCCTGCAGTCTAGGCCCAGTCAGCACACTGGCTTTCTTGCACGGCATCTAGCATAGCCCAGGTCCTAGGAGCCCACGCCCCTTCTTTGAGCAGTGGAGGCGGAGGTGGGCCCACCTAGTTACGAGGCCTAATCGATGTTGGGGAGGCTCCTGGAGCACTTGGTGAAAGGTACCCCGTAAATCTCAGACACTAAAGAGAGCTGCCACATCCGTCACAGTGTTTAATGTCCCGATTGATCTCCAGGGTAGTCAATTCCATTTGCTTGTCCGGGATGAACAGGCAGCCGCTTCCCTATGGTGCAGCCTGGGGCTCTGCGGAAAATTATGCTGGCACTGTCTCTTTGGTAGCTTGCAATAAATTTTAGCAGCAAATGTTCCATCATTTTCTTTGGAAAATTAAATTAACTATTCACCAGAAGACAATACTGAACTTTTCAGCGGTAGAGCCAAAAAAAAAAAAAATGAGAATAGTTATGAATTCCTCACTTGGCTCACGCGGGAGAAATGTGGGGCTTTGGCTGCTGCTGGCAAAGGGAGAAGGTCGGCAAGTTGCCTCCCGCCTGAGGAACAGCAGTGCTCTTTTCCCTGACCACGGCGACTCCAGGGCGTTGTTTACAAGGGAAGGAAGGCGGATGTGAGAGCAGGGCGAGCTCAGCAGAGGAGCTCAGTTGGCTTGAGGCTGGGGGCAGGGCCCACTACCACCCCACACCAGGCTATCAGTGGCAGCAAGTGAGATAACTGAGTGTCTCCTGGGCCGCCGCCCCCCCCCACAATGCTGAGCGTCTGCTGGCAGCAAAACACCCCAGGCATCTATTATTAATAAGGGTGCCTTCCGTGTGTTTCCCCTGAAGCGCCCTCAGAGGGCATTCCCTTCACTGTGACATTAGCTCTCCCGGCCCCCGCCTCGGGGTGGCAGGCACAGGAGTTAGCGTCCGTCATACGGGGGCGGAAGCAGGGCCAAGGATTTGCTTGGAGCCACACAGCAAACCAGAAATGGGGCTCGGCTGAGAATCAGGTGCTCAGGCTTTGACACACCTGTATGCAGGTACAGCAGCACCTGAGGTGGGTGGGCGTGGGGTGACCAGGCTTCTCTCCAGCACTGAGATGTCCGTTCAAAACCTGGGTCTGGCTGCTTCAGCCTTCAGAGTCGGGGGTCCTTCAGCGGCTCCGCACAGGTGTTGGGTGGGGCTCAGTGTTCTGTTGGTTCATTAGTAAAAGGATGGCTTCCTTGGGCCTCGCTCATCGGAGGCTCTCAGCAGTTCCCAGAGTAGGGCCCCAGCTCTGTCTTTTCTCTTGAGAGATACGCAGATAGCACCAGAGAGGAGCTGGGTGGCAGCACCAGGACCGGAGGAGCCTTGGTCTCGACTCTGGCTTCAGCCAACAGCTGTCTTGGAGCGAGAACGGGGTTCCTGAGTTGAGGGTCAGATGGATGTCCACCATACTGAAGAGAATTCCAGGCCACTAGTCCCTAACCACACAGGGTCTATGACCTCCACCACCCGCTGGTCTGTGGGACTTGACCTGAAAAGCCAAGCCCTGCCCAGGGCTGGCTGGAGAGGGACCGGTTGTGCCACTCTGGGAAGGTCTTACAGCTCCCAGTCCTGGGGGGCTTCTGACCAGAGCTGCAGGGCTCTGGCTTAACCCGCTGTGGGCCGGCCACCAGTGCTGCCGGCTCTGAGCCTTGCTGTGCTTGCTGCCAGGTTTGGCACGCTGGCTGGCCCGTCTGGCAGGAGCTGCAGCAAGGCTGAGCAGCAGGGCCACAGGGCTGGAGTCTCGGTTTCTATCTCGGTCCTCGTGGCACCTGGTTTGATTCTGGGCAGCTCACGTCACCATACCCAGCACGGCTTCTAACCCACACAGACCTGGTTTGAGTCCTGCCACCACAGTTTACTAGTTCGCTGTGTGCCCTGGGCAAGTCGTTCATTAGTCACCCTCTGCCTCCGTTTCTCTCGGAGACCTCGGGAAGATGGCGTCACTCTCCAGCGCTGCGGCAAAGGGGAGGCCGGGGAAGAGCAGCTGAGTAGATGGAGCCGTGGCTGCTGGTAGCCTCTCTTGCTAGCTAGCCCGACAGGACGGCTGTTACCAGACCCTCCTCCCTTCTGGGAGAACCCCGGACGGCTCCCTGGGCCACCAGAGTGGGCTCTCTGAAAGGGCGGGAGAGCAGGGGGCCGTTTCCCAGAGCTGCGGACCTCCCGAGCGCCCGGCGCCCCCTCCCGGGCCCTGGGGAGCCATGAAAGCTGGAGCTTTTACCTCCATCTCCTGCACTCCGGGCCTGAGGACCCGCCCCAGGGACCTGCGGTGGGATAGGGTGTGACTGGGGCCTCCGCCCTCCACCCGGAGGAAGGGCACTGGGTGGAGGAAAGAGCCACCATGCTCTCCGCCCCACGTCCGTGCTCTTGGTGCCAGGCACAGCCACCTGGCATCCCACCGGTCTCAGGCGCCCAGGCTGGACTTGGCAGCCTCTCTTCCCTCCGGTGGTCCCCTCGCCTTCACTCCACCTCCGGGGGCTGCCACGCTCCAGCAGGTCTCCCCAGCAGCTCAGCCACCTGCCGCCTCCATGCTGTCCCCGGTGGGCAGCCTCGTTCCTTCTCCTCCTGCGGACACAGCCTCCCCGCCCCGCCTCCGCCCGTCATTCCCCTGCAACCACCAGAAGGCTCTGCGAGAGCCCTTCCGTAGCGCCTTCTCCCCTCAAGGATGAATGCCCCCCGCTCGACCCGGCAGTGCCCAGCCCCACCAGCCTTTTCTGGGTTGCTCCCGAGGCGACCTCCCCCGCCCCCAGCCCCCGCCATCCTCTTCCTGACACCGGACTTCTCCCTGTTCCCAGACGGGCCTGTGCAGCACACTGCGGTTCCTCTGCCCTCACCGTTGTCCTGCCACCTTCGCCCGCCGCTCCTGTTTGCTTCTGAGCAATGGTTTCACAGCCGACTGGAAGTCAAGGAGACGCTGTGACTCCCCACTCACGCTTTCCAGGGGCGGGTCGATTCTGTAGCTCAGTGTTGAAACCACCCCATAAAAACTGCTCTTCTCCCACACAACAAAGAGAGGGGCTGATTCTGGTGTACGTTTTCTTTTTAAATCCCCCGTAAAGATTTCCTCCGCTGTGAGGCCTTCAGGTGGCCCCAGGCAGGCAAGCAGCTTCCCGTCTGTGGGCGCCCCTCGCGCGTGACCGTCATGGACTCTACTCGGAGAGGCAGGGGCTACCTTCGCCTCCGTGCCCATCGCCATCTCCTCGCGCGGCAGTCCTGACACGGCACGTAGGCGACAGTGCTCAGGCAGGATTTCGCCTCACAGCAATTTGGAAATACTCCAATTCATTTAAAAGTGGACCAAAACACAACAAAACACAACAAACAAAAAAAAAAGCAGAGCTCTTCTGTAGACCCATTTTCCAGCGAGGGAAACTGAGGCAGAGAGTAGGAGCCACTTGCCTGTCATCTTACCCCATTGCTTTCCTCCCTGTCCTGTCCCTGTCCTGTCCCCAGCAGACGCGAGTGCTGAGCAGCACTGGGGCTTGCAGCTCCCCTGGGGCACCGGCCAGGCTCATCCGCCTGTCGGGGTAGCAGCGGCAGCCCAGGAGGGGGGCCACGGGAGCCCAGTGGACAGGGCCGGGCAGCTCGCTGGGCATGGCTGAGGACGGTGGCTGTTTCCAGTCCAGTGGGTGGAGATCACCAGTTACTGACCCCACCGGCTCCTGCTCTACAGATTACAAACCATGTAACACCCTCCAGCCGATCAAGCGGCAAAAGCCGAGTGACCACTCTGCTTCCAAAAGCTCTAAACCCTGGAAGCCCAGGGCCTGGCACGGAGCCGGGCAGGTCTGGGCTCCAGTTCCAGGCCTCTCCTATTTGACCTCAGGAGCTTCTCCAACCTCTCTGAGCCTCAGGTTCTCCACCTACAAAATGGGGCTGGTGGTACCTGCCTCACAGCGCCATGAGGAGGATTCAAGGCGCCCGCGTGTTGGGGGCCTTCGCAGAGCGCTCAGTGACAGAAGCCGTGACCCAGGATGCCCGAGCACGCCGCTCTTGTCCTTTACACACCAAGCCGCCCCGCGGCAGGTGTTCCGATTACACCTCCACTGGATTCGGCTGCCTCTAACACCTTTCGACCAAGGTGAGAGGGTGCTCGTGGCCCGTACGTGGTCCTTTCTCTCCCTTTCTTCCATTCCGCCGTCTTTCCCGAGCGGCTCCGTGCCCAGGCCCGTGCCCTGTGCGGGGCTCGGGGGCCAGTGCTCTTCAGGACCGGCAGGGGAGGCAGGCCGGGAAGCTGACGCGGGCCCAGCGTGGGACTGCGGCACTGTCGGGGTGAGGCCGAGGGCCACGGGAGCCCCGAGGCCCCTGGCCTGCTGGGGCGGGCAGGCAGGACACCCACACGGTGAGAGGAAGGAACCAAGGACCGGCAGGAAAGGAGCCGCGGCGGGTGGAGAGGGGCTGTCCGCCACACTCGAGTTCTCTTGAGGCAGTGGGAGCCCTTAAAACGCAAAGTCTTCCCTTCCCCCGTATCAAAGAAAACACGAGGGTCACAAACACGAACCCCCTTGAAGGCTGTTGAGCAACGGGGACCAGGCTTAGTGGCCTGGGAAGAGGCACAGGAGCAGGGTGAAACCGAGGCGGGGCCACAGAGGAGGCCACAGCGGTGCAGCCCAGCCCAGCCGGGGGCGGGGGCCAGCTGGGTGGGCGCACCAGGCCGGCCGAGACCCCAGTGAACCGCTCTGGACACTGGCTGGGCTAGCGACCAAACGAAAACCTCTGCCAACTGAAGTCTTGGTGCAGCTGTTTTTATTATTAAAGCTACAGTTGGAAAATGGTTGTCCCTCTGCCCCCCACAACCCGCCCCCCAGATCCATCCCTTTAGGTCCTGTGAAGGTGAAAACTAGATTTGTCTTGAGAAGACAGAAACGCCCATGCCGAAATGAGCGGAGGAGGACAGTGAAGTGGGCTCAGGTGGGGTCTCCGTGTGCGGGTCGGCTCCCCCCAGCGTTCCCGGGAAAGGCGGCGCGGCGGGGCTGCACGGCCCCTGCTCACAGTGCTGTTCCCGAGGGTCCGGGTGGGCGCGAGGAACGAAGGCAACGGAAGAGGCTGAGCAGGCCTCCACACTCTACCCTGCCGAAGCTGGGCCACAGGCTGGTTTCTGTAAAAACGGTTAAAAAGTAATTGCAGCCACAAGCACCACCCTCCCCTGCGCAGGGCGAGAGGAGGCGCCAGCTCTGGGCTTTCAGGTCTGAGGCGTGTGGCCTCCTGGCCCGGCGTCACCTCCCTGGAGGCAGGCAGCACCCTGAGGGAGGCCAGGCGGGCTCGTGGGCCCCGCCTGTGGCCCTTGGCGGCCTCCAGGGTCCCAGGAGAGCTTTGAGAGGGCTGTCTCCCTCCTCCCACCCCGCCCACCGGAGGCGCTAGGCCTCAGGGACGCTGTGCAACTTTTGCTCTTTGGATTCCAAAGACCTGAACTTCTCCTCCCGCGCGAAGTGGACGGCGGGCCTGGTCTGGAACGCGGTGAAGCCCTCCCGGCTCTTCTGGTGGAACACGCTTACCCTGTGCTCCAGCTCGGGGCTGGTTTGGGCCGAGCCCGCCGGGCTGGGCCGGGCGAGGGGGGCTGGGTCCAAGGCCCTGTGGGCTGGGCAGGGGTCCTCCGACAGGGAGGACAGCAGGTCCTGGACCGTGGCCTCCGCCATCTGCTGCTGGGGTGGCGGCAGCAGCGGCAGGGGCGCCGGCCCGGGCTCAGAGGAAGGCGCCCCGTGGGCAGCGCTGCAGTCCGTGGAGGAGCCCAGCGTCTGGCTGCTGTCGCTCTGCGCCCGGGTGACCGAGCTGCGGGTGGAGCGGGAGGCGCTCTCCGAGGTGGCACTAGCACAGGTGCCACTGCCACCGAGCTTCAGGGGCGCGTCGAGCGAGAAGAGGTCTGAGGAGATGTTGGGCTGGTGGACGTCTATGGCAGCCGTGGTGACCACGCACACAGCTGGCTCCGGGACACCGCTGTCTGCAAGGAGGAGGGGATCCTGGTCACACTTCACCCTCCGGCACGCCTTGGCGGACCCCGAACCGGACCAGGCGTGGGTGGCGGCAGTGGGTGCGCAGGGGCTGTGAAGGGCACACCTGGTGGAGGGGCCTTGGTCCCAGTTCCCCGATACCAACCGCCCAGCCCATGTGTCCCCATCGTGTTGAGCTCAAGTGTGGACATGTGGCATGCTTTGGCCAGTCACCCAGGAGAAGTGACCTGCGGCACTTCTGCATGGAAGCTTTATGAGCCAGCTGGTGCCTTGCCCTGGCAGCCAACAACGTTCCAGAAGAGACGGCGGCCGCTCTGTCCGCGGGCGCTGCAGCAGCGTGACGACCCGGGAGCAGAGCCCCCGCCAGCCTGCCGTGGGCTCTGTGGCCGCTTAAACCAGAGCGCAGGCTCATTTGCCAGGGGGCTGGCGCAGCCTAAGTCAGGAAGCACCGAGTTTCCTGCCAAGACAAGGATTTCATGGTCTGAGGAGTTTCATGGTGGGGCTCATGGTCCGAGGAGTTCTTCAGAGTTCTAGATGGGCCGGCGTGGGGGTGGGGCGGCATGACCGGAGCCTCGCAAGGCTGAGTGGCCTCTTAGGATGCATCTTGGGGCAGACAGAGGAGTGTGGGGGAGGGGACTGGGCCGGGGCCGGGGCTGGACGTGCTGGTCTTTGAAACCAGCAGATTGGACCAGGTTTGGGGAGAAGAGAGAAGGGGGCTTCGGGGGCAAACTGTGGGAAAGGAGAAGTTCAGACACATACACGTCGCCCCATGTCATCCTCTAGCCTTACAATGGGGCATAAACGGATTTGGGGGCTGTGAAATCCAAACTCAAGGCTTGAGACATCAGCTATGGAGAAACAGGACCCTGAAGGACCAGCTGTTACTTTAAAATTCCATATTTCCTGTAAGTAAAAGCCAGCGGGCTTCCCTGAGGCTTTGTCAAATGTGAGAACGAAATGGCAAGCAAGGACCTGCCCGACCCGCCGCTGCTCAAGCCCAGTGGTGCCGCTGCCACCTCAGCCTCAGGCTGGGGGCACTAGGGCCGCTTTGAGCTCTGGATTCCAAGCCCCTTCCGTTTCAGGGTGGCATGTGCAGCTCTTATCGGTGACCCCAGGGCCCCTGCAGGCCCCAGCTCCAGCGGTGGCGTTTGCATTTCAGCCTCAGCTCTGCCTGCAGCTGTGGCTCACGGGCACCAGGAAACGGGCATGCCGTGGTCTCCGAAGCCAGGCCGAGGAGCCCCTAGCCTTGGGTTTAGGGGTGCTGGGGTCATGTGTATCGTGGGGCTGCACAGAGGTTCCAGTACCTGCAGAATGGCCTCTGACCCACACTTACCACTGCTGGGCCCGTTGTAGTACTGACTGATGTAGCTGTTCATGTCGTCTTTAACCGCGGCTTCTAGGAGGTGGGGACAGAGAAGGGTGAGTGAGCCCAAGAAGCAGGGACTGAAGCAAGTTTGTGCTCCACCCCCAATACTCCAGCCCCCGCCCCCAGGCCATGAGAAGAGGCACCTGTCGCACAGAAGCCCTCTAGGTCTCCTTGGGGACCAGGCCTCGTCTGCCCAGGGCCCAGACAGCCGGACTGGGTACCAGGGAATCCACGTTCTGATGACGCTTCTGCCTCAACACCTGGCCTGGACAGGCCCCTTGCTCCTCTGTGCTGTTTCCTGGCTCTGAGAGGAGGGTGTGGGACCATTCCTCGGGGCTTCCCCTGTCTGGATGGCCTGAGGACCTCAAGGTCACTGGAAACACTGCCCCCGTGCAGGAGCCTTGACGTCCCATGTGCGGGAACACACGGCCAGCCGCAGGCTGACGCGCCGGTCGGCCACGGCAGCCCCGTCTTCCGTGCAGCACAGGGGCGGGCCGGGGGCTGGGGGTCCCCGCTGCCTGCGCAGCTCCTGCACACAGCGGGTGCTCGGCACACGGATATCGAACAAACGACGGAGCAGGAGGTGAAGAGCTGTCCGGATCAAGGGGACAACATGGCAACAGGGTCCTAAAGAAACATCAGTTCATCGTCCTGAGGGGAGTGGGGGGGGAGTAGGGAGGGGGTGGTCTGAGAGTGGGAGGAAAGGCAGGTGACAGGAGACCCCAAAAACCATCCTAAGGAGCTTGGCCTTGTCCCAAGGGCAGTGAGGAGCCACAGGAAGGTCTGACTGTGGTCAAGTGTGATTGGGAGAGGTCACTTCCAAGGTCATGGGGAGAGTGGTTTAGAAGGGGCCAGACTTTAGGCAGTGAGACCAGAGACTGCCCAGGCCCGGAGCAGGTGGGAGGCGCCAGAGGGAAAGAGGGAGGGACGGGGCGGGTAGTAACTAGAAGGGTCCCGGCATGGCTGGGACGGTGTCAGGATGAGGCCCTCAGCTCGGCGGTCAGGCCGGGTCCCAGAGCCATGGGGGAGGTGGACTCAGACCTGACTTCAAAGCCCAGCTGCACCACCTATTAAGTGGCCCTCTCTGAGCCTCTGTCTCCTTGTCTGTAAAATGGGGAGAATGATACCCACCGCCCCGGGTTGTGATGAAGACTGAGCGAGCCAACGCGTGTCGGATTCCTGAGCAGGGCCAGGCACACGGAAGGCCTGCGACGCGCCAGGGCAGGCCGGCCTCTCGTGGGAGTCTGGGGAGGTGCTTCGGGGCCGTCCCCAGACCCTGCACCCCCGGGGGCTTCTCTGAGGAGGCGGGGTCTGCAGGTGACCAGGCCCAGTGTTCTGAGGCTCCTCTGGGGCACAGCTGGGCGCGGCAGAAGCCAACCTGCCCTGACGCTGGGAGGCTGAGTGGAAGCCTTCACGGAGGCCTGGCTCTTAAAAGCTTTTTTGGCCTCTTCTGATCTGTAACTGCCCGAGGTCAGAGGCGTGTTGTGCACTAACGCTGGGGCGTGGGGAAGGGCCGGGCTGGCTCCAGGCCCTGCTCCTCCATCAACCCGTAACACGGGCCTCCATGGCCTCCATGGCCCTGCGCACGCCGGGAAGCCGGGGTGGCTGCTCCCTGCAAGCTGGAGGCGCAGGACCACCAGGAGGAAGGATCTGGTCCCTTGTCTTGGTTTATCCTGAGACCACACCTGCAGGGCCTCAAGATGTGGCAGGACCATGAGCTCAGCTGAAGTGTCCGCAGAGCCATGAACCTTTATCCCAAACTGCCACTCACAGGAGGGGGCCGGGTGAATAAGAAAGTCCCGGCCCTGGGTTCTTGTCCTCGTGCTGCCACTGGCTGCAAAGGGAGCCTGAGCAGGCCACATCCCTTCTCTGGGTCTCAGTGTCCTCATCTGTCCCAGGAGGGTGCTGGCAAGGCTCTTACAGATCATGACGTGGCCAGACCGGACGGCTCTGAAGTTCCAAGAGGTGGCAGACGCGTCTGGACCATCCCCCAGCAGCTGGGCAGGAGCCAGGGGCCCCTCCGTGCGCCAGCACACCTCTGGGGAAGGGAGCTCTGGTCAGCCGCTGCCGGGCAGCTCCCGACTCACATGTGCTCAGGAGGGTCACAGTGCCTAACCCTCTGCGAGCACTGAGCCAGGAGTCCCTGCCTCCAGGGAGCACAGCCCGGGCCTCCCCACGATGTCCTCTCCTTGGTCAAACAGCCAATCTCCGTTGAATCACGAAGTGCCTACTACGTGCGAGGTATCAAGGAGAGGCCCATTTCTACTCACAGGCTACGGGACAGACCTTCCAACACTTGCAAGGCCCTCACATCCCTCCCGAGAAGTCTCCCGAGCCCTGTCCCTTCCCTACCCCTCCTGGTCTCAGCCTTCCCCCACTAAAGGCTTCACTGTGGGCTCCAGATGTGACCAGATGGAGGAGAGGAGGGACGGAAGGCCCTAGCATTTACTGTCAAAGCTCCAGACCAAGGGGTCAGCCCTTCACACACGGATCTCCTTCAGTCCCCACCGCTGCCGCGCGAGACCGTCATTACCTAATAGACAGGTCCTGCCCACTCAGGTGTGACCTTGCCTACATCCTCCGCGTGTGCTTCACACCTGCCCTCGCTGCTGCCATCAAGCCTGTGGCCAGCGTGGAGGCCCACGTCTTCCCTGCAGGAGCCAGGGCCAGCACGGGCTTCCACCACCCTGTACTCAGGTAACCCCCGAGGAGGGCCCATGATCCTGGGCAAACGTCAGCTTGGTGGCTTTGGCCCAGGGGTGCAGGCTGCTGCATCCCGCTTCTGTCTGCTCAGGTGTTAGATCTCTCTCCTATCTCTGTGTTGACGGCGTGTCTGAGGATGAGCACATCCTCCTCCAAGCTGGTGATAAAAATTACCTAAGCCAGGTGACCTTCAGCCCAGACAGCTCTCCAAGCTTCTGGCCAGGCTAGCCGACCACCCGACTCCTCCTGGATGGGCTCCGGCCCCGCTGACTCGACGTGTCCAGAACAGAGCCCAGTGTCTCTGTCCTCCGCCCACATCCTCTACCGCGGTGGCTGGTTCTCCTGCCCACCCAGGCAGTGACCCTGTCACTTCTCAGTGCCTCTCTCTGTCTTGCCAACAACCTGACTTCACCAAGACTGTGACCAGGCGAGGGACCGCTGACCCCTCTGCCGTGGCCCTGCACCCAGCCTTAGGGTGGGCCTCGTGGTTTCTCCTTCAGACTCTCGTCCTGCCTGTGGGTTTAGGGAGCAGGAGCGCTTACTCCCGGGACATGTCTGACGCAGAGCCAAGGTCCAGGTGGCCACGGGCAGCGTGTCCAGTCTGCACTTGCTCCCTCTGTCCGGACCTGGACCCACACAGGCCTCAGAGCAAGCTCTGCGGTGCCAATCTGAGCGTGGGGCCTGCAGTGCTGACACGGCCGCCGGCTCTCTGCCTCCCACAGGCCCGCGGACCCTCTCCCAGAACTGACCCCTTGGGCTGGGGTTCTGTCCCCACCCACAGAGGGGCGTGCCAGCCTTTCAGGGCAGGAGCCACATTTTGCTCACTGAGTCTCCCTGGTACTTGGTCTTGGCATACGCCAGGTGCCATGAGGGGGACTGGACAGAGACCAGGCTGGGTCAGGGGCCTGCGAGACGGCCCAGCCTCCACCCCTCCCTGGGGAGCCCCAGGGCCGGGATGTGACGCTCTGTGCCACCCAGCGTGCGGTTTCACTCCCCTCCCGGGTGCTTCCCACAGAGAGACGGGTGACTGCTTGGTGTCTGGGAGCTAGGGGGTGGCTGGGGATAGGCCACACGGTTGGCCTTACACAGGGCTGCCCACTTTCCACCTACAAATTACCCCCTGCCCCTGGGGTTTGTTTTGATTAGCCCCGAGGAGCCCTAGGGACTGTAGAAAGCAACCCAGAGGGGACTGAGCCTTGCAGCCCTGGAGGGGCAGAACAAAGAAAGGGCACAGCCAAAGGCCCCAATCCCAGCTCTGCAGGCCACTTGCTGTGTGGTCTTAGGCAAATCCCTTAGCCACTCTGAGCTTCAGCTTCCTCACCCACAAAGCAGGGATGACAAACACCTACTCTGCAGTGAGCTGTAAAGATTCAGATTTGCTGAGATAATGCATGTCTAGCCTGGGGCCATCCCTCCATCCCTCACCTCTCTGAACCCCTGGCCCCAGAGTCTTGGGTGGTTTCCCTGGCAGAGGCTCTCTGCTGCCCTGTGCCTTTCTTCCCTGGGTGTGAGCACTTTGCAAACCCAACCCGACTAATCCTCCTAAAGCCCTTCAAGTGCAGCAGTGGAACACTCATTATGTGGGTTTTGCCCCCGTAGGCGGAGCCCCGATCTGCCCAGGAGGCAGAGGTGGAGAGAGAGGCAGGGAGTCAGCAGGGCCAGGCCAGGATGGGGGGCGAGGAGACCCAACCCCACATCCCGGACAGACCCAGGCCCCAATGCCCCTGGGGTCCTGATTCCTAGTCTGGGGCTTTTGCTCCCAAAGCCCAACTTCCTGATCCTCAGCTTGGCAGCCCTCATCAAGGGAGAACACTAATCTTCACTGAGCACCTACTGTATACCAGGCATGAGAGCTGAGCATATGACTGAATGCCCAGTCCTTTGCAGTGAAGAATCCTGCCACTGCTCTCATTTTGGGAACACCGGGGCTCAGGGACAGGACCAGCTACATAATTTATAGGCCCCTTGTTCAAAAGTATTAAGAATTTCAAGAAGGTGACAGCAGAGCATTGACCCAAGCTCAGAGCCTCTGAGACCACACAGGTCGGGCCTCAGTGAAGCCAGCTCTGATCAGAGAGGTTAAGTAACTTGTTCAAGGCCAAGTTGAGGTCAAAACATAGACCTGAGTCCTAAACCCTCCGGTTGCCTCAAATGCTACTTTGCCTGACGCTCTCGAAGGTCTAGTCCTACAGCCCTGGGGCTTCTGGGGGCCCCAGCACCCGGTCAGGCACACACATCTGGAAGCCAGTGGAGGTGCCTTGCCTCCAAGAGCACCCAGGCGCTTTCCTCCCCAAGGGCAAACCCCGGTGCCAGCTCAGCCCCCGCCCCCACTGCCGCTTAGCTGGCCGGGAGCACCTCTGTGGCAGCGTCTCTGGATGCTGCAGCACGTGGGGACACTCAGGTTCCCTGTGATATATGGTGAAATCCACGGCACTCCCGCCAGGGGCTGTAATTCATAAGTTATGGGCGAGCTGCAAGACTAATAAATTCGGGAGAGAAGTATTAATGACTACACAGGGGCACCGTGAACTTGGCAGGCCCCAAAGCCTGGAACTTTGCAGCCCAGGTTTTAAAAATGATTTGTGCTAGAGCAAGTCTAAACAGAAGCCGGTTGGCGTTGTCTGTGACCCGCTGGCAACTGTTGAGACTGCAGCTTCCCCCTGTGGGACTGGGGCTGGCACCCCCGCCCTAGAGGCCACGCTCCCCCAACCCAGCCAGACGCTGCCCCTCCCCCGTGACTCATCGCTCCTGTCTGCAGGTTAATCCCGGGATTTTCTGTGCCCTACTGCACACGAGGGGGGCCTGAGGCCCTGCTGGCCTGAAGGTCATAGTTAGCAACAAACGCTGCCCTTTCTTAATCTCCAGAGTGGCCCAGAGCAGCCCTAGCTTGTTCAGCCGTAATTTCCAGTGTCATGAAAATCCCTCCCTGGACACAGCTGCTGGTCAAGGAGAGACGGGCTGGGGGAAGCCCTGTGTCCCTGGGCCAGTTGGGGCTGTGAATCATGTGTGCCCCCCACGGCACTCATGCCCTGCCCTCTGCCCCGAGCACTGGCCTTGCTGTTGATGTCTGGGGCTGGCTGTCACATGCTGTGCTGTGCGTGGGCAGCTGCACAGGCGGGGGCAGGCGGCACCCAGAGAGCTGGGAGGTGCCAGGGGATGTCCCTGAGGAGATAGGGCAGGTGGGATTCCAGGGCTGCGGGGACGGACATTTGTAGCTGCTCCCAGGATGCACGTTTGGCACCTCTATGAGAGGCCTGAGCCTGCCTCGTTCACACACGCCCTCCCCCGAGTTTGCAGGAGGGTGAGTGGGGACAGTGCAGCCCTCACGACACCCAGGCTGGTAATGCACGGCTGATCGGATTTCCCGAGTGGCCTTTGGCTCTGCCCTAGCTTTTTCCCTTCTGCCCCCTCCGTCTTCTCCTTCTGGAAGTTGCCCACAACGGGGACAGATACAGAGAGAGGAGGAGCAGCAGGGACAGGCAGGGAATTACAGTTTCACAGCACTCCTAGAGTGGGTGGGATTATTTTAAAGGCTTGGTTTGGTTGTGGATCCTCCAAGCCCAGATCTCAGCTCCCTGTGGGCCCAAATGTGGCATCTGGTGTCCAGGATCTGTAGGTCACTGGCTGAGAGCAAGGGCCATGCTGTCATCTCTAGAGCTCAGGACCCTGATGAGGGTGGGGGTGCTGCAGAGTGCGGAGGAGCCGGAAGGGCTCAGAGCTGCAGAAAGAACGGCACTGGCAGGCGCGAGCCCCACGGCGCAGTGTGCAGGGACGGCCGAGCAGCAGCGCTCACCGAGCTCCATCGAGGAGGGGCCACGAGACTGTAAGCCAGCCCCTCCCATCCTTGGGAGGCAAGGCTTAGTGGGCAAAAGCTGCTCCTACCTTCCCGAAGAACTTCCAAAAAGAACAAGAAGGCAGATTCCACAAGCCTGGGCCTGGGGAGCTGGAAGCCAAGAGTGGGTTTCTGGAGAGGGCTGTTGCCAGGTGGCCTCTGAGCTCTGAGAGAGGACGCAGGGCCGCAGAGACCCGTGCGGAACGAGGATGTCTGAGAGCCTCATTCGCTCTGGGGAGAACGGCTGAGATCAACACACATAAATGGCACGGCGGCTGGGCAGGACCGGGGCCTGCGGGAGTTCACGCGGGGCTGTGGGGAAGGGTGTGGTGACCTGAGGGCTCGCCCTGCGATGGCCGCAGGGGAAGGGCTCAGAGACTAGAGCGCTCACAGAACACGCTGCTCCAGTGACAGCTGAGACGGGTGGGAGGAGACGAGGCCAGGGAGGCAGCTGGAGGCAGGACTGTCAGGGGTCCTATGTGCCACCTGCTGTGGGGTGAATAATTGTGTCCCCGGCCCCCACCCATGTGTTGAAGCCTGAAGCTCCAGTGCCTCAGAATGTGACCTGACCTGGAAGTGAGGTGGCTGCGGATGTAATCAGTGAACACGAAGCCATGCCGGAGCACGGGAACCCCCAATCCAATGTGACTGGGCCCTTATAACTGGCAGACTGATATGCCACCCTAAGGGGCTTGGGCTTTTTCCCGAGGGACACAGGACCCAGCAAAGGCAGTAAGACGAAGAGTGACGCGAACGAGTTTGGAAAGAGCCCTGTGCAGCGGGCGAGGTGAGGGGGCAGAGGGCACCTGTGGGGGCAGAGCTGAGGAGGAGCCGGTGAGGTCCAGAGACAGCCGAGGCCGAGCAAAGACGGTGAAGAAGCGGATGCTTCAGACACATGCGGGAAGCAAACCAGCAGGAACCGAAGATGGCTCATGAACCAGGACCTCCCCAACCCTGGACCAAGGCAGGAATCACCTTACAGCTGAACACACGTGAAAGTAGGGCTCTGCGCCGGGCACAAAAGCCAACTGCCCGAGGAGGGGTCGCCAGGGCATGTGGGCTCTGAGGTGTGAGCTCACGACAAGCGGCCACAGGGCCCAGGAGCCTTCCGAATGCATCGTGGGGTCCCAGGTGGGAACAAAAGAGCAGGGTGGGCCCTCGGCACTTTGCTCCGGGCTTGCCGCTCCCCAGTAACCGCATTCAGTGCCGGGTGTCGCTCTGAGAGGGGCACCGGAGAGCTCAGGGAGGTAGCGGCAGTACGGCAAGGACCTGGGGAGCTCATGCCCCGAGGGCTGGCTGTGGGAATCAGTGGCAGTCCCTGGAGGAGAAAACTGTCCCTAAAAGAAGTCTCGACTGAAAGGGCACCCACCTGTGCATGGAAACTGCGGCCAGGGGAGGGCTGCGGGCGGGGGCAGGCCCACGCAGTGTGAGCCGGTGAAGGTGGGGGAGGCATTACGCGCCCATTCTTAGAGGAAGGTGAGCTGAGGCCACACAGACTCTTGGCAGGGAGTTACAGATGGGCTTCTCATGTCCGCTGAAGTCCCTTCCAGTCCCCAAATCCTATGATTCTAAGATCTGAAGATCTCTCAAAAGATTTAATATCAGCCAACTCGTTCCCCAAAACCTGTTTGCGGTGCTTTCAGCCTACAGAGCTTTCGCACACCCATCGGCTCCTCACGCTGCCTGTGAGGCAGACAGAGCTGGCGCCGTGAGTCCATTTTACAGAAAGGAACACCAAAGCCTCAAGTCGAAGAGCCTGGAGCGCAGGCCTCTTGCCTCCCGACTGGCTCAGCCTGCCTGGCCTGTCCTCACTGCCCTGGCAGGGGACACGGCAGGCCAAGGTGAAGTATCCCCTTGATCAAGCTGGGGATTGGGGTTCCACAGCCCAGGTTCCAAGCCCAACACCGTCATTTCCTGGCTGTGTGGCCCCATGCAATCCTCTTAACCTCTGAGCCGCACAAGCACCCGTGAGGAAGGCTCAGTGCTGTTCCTTCCCTCGACAGCGAGCAAACCCGGGCCCAGAAAGGTTAATCCCCCGTCCAAGGCCACGCAGCGGATGGACAGAAGAGCCAAGATTTGAATCTAGAAACATCACCACAGTCCCTGCCCTGGGTTGTGGCCGGTGCTCACATCTCCACCAACAGCATCATCCCATCAACTCGCTACCCTCTCAAAGGCCGGGACTTGTTGCTTGGGCCCTGGTAGGTGACAATCCAGCAGGAAAGCGCCAGACCTCGGCTTGAAGCCCGGCTCTGCCATTTGTTAGCCACGTGCCTTTGGACGGCCTGCCTAGGTCTGTTTCTTCATCCATAAAATAGGAGTCACAGCTCCTCCGCCGGGTGCTGTGAGGTCAGGGAAGGTGAGGCGCACGAGGCGCGAAATGGGTGCAAGCCATGTCTAGTTTGCGCAGGGGCACATGCGCCCTCCCGACTGCGAGCGTGCTCCCCCGCACGGGGAGGGGCGCGGGCCTGCCAGGAGCCGCTGCACCGCAGGAGGGAACCCCAAGCCGCAGCCCCTCTGCTTGGAGCCCTGTGGGGGCACAGGAGGCGCGCTGCCCCCGTCGCTGGGCGCCGGGCTCACCTTGCGAGGGCCGCAGCTCCTCCACGACGCTCCCGGCCGCCGTCTCCTCGTCCCAAGCGCCGGCCTCCACCACCTTGTAGCGGCTGCGCGGCTGGCTGAGCACGTGCGGGGCCCGCAGCGCCGCCTCCCGCTCGGCCGCCAGGTCCAGGTCCTGCTGCGCCAGGTGCGCGCGCAGCTGCCGGATCTCGAACTGCGGGCAGAGGGCACCGTCAGCTGCCAGGGCCGCGGGGCCAGGCCGGGGCGCGGCGCGGCGGGGCGGGAAGGTGCTCCCCAGAAACCTCCCAGCGCACGAACCCCGCGGGCCTCCCGTTGCGGGGCCTTCCCCCGTTTCTCAGCAACAAAGCGTGAGCCTGGGCCTCGGGACCGCGCAGTGTGGCCCCGTCCCGCGGAGGGCGGTGGGGGGACGCAGCCGTGGTGCGCGGGAACGCCGAGTGCGATCCCGGGGTGCGTGACAGAATGGAAGCCGTTTAGGGGCCGTGCGCTGATGACTGACGGGGGGCAGGAGCCCCGGGCCCGCGCCACCAGCCTGGGAGCCCGTCTGGCGTCGCGCGCCGCAGGCCGTGCCTCCCAGGGACACCCGCTTGTCGCCCACGCGGACGGAGGACGGGGCGGGCCCCGCGGCCTGCTGGCCCTGTGGCCTGGGCAGGTCCCCTCACCGCCCGGGCCGCGGTCTCCTCATCTGCGAAGTGGGCCTTGTAAGCAGCGCGCCCGTTTCCGCGCTGGCGCGCTCTTCGCTGGGGAAGGCGTCGTGGGAAGGCGGCCAGACGCCTCCTGGGCTAGCGGCTGAGGTGGCGGCCCGGGCCCTGCCGGGACGTGGGCCGGAGTTCGCGGGAGGCGCGGAGGCCCCGCCCCGCCACCTAGCGTCCGGGGCACGCGGCGCCGCTTTGCCCGGGGAGCGGGACCGGCCCAAGTGGGTCCGCCGCCCGGGCGCCCCACCCAGGAGGCTGCCCGCTTGCTTACGACGCACATCTCGAGCCCGGACCCCTCTCCGGAACGTCAGACCCCCCAGCTGCCTACGTGACGGCACCACGTGGTCGGTTTATGGGAGCTGCAAATGCAACTCGGTCGAAACAGGACTCCTGGCCGTCTCTCCAAACCTGCTTCTCAGGCGCTTTCATCCCACTTTGGCTGCTGCCGAAAAACGTAATCGCCTCCCTGCTACCTCTCTGCCTCACCCCAACATCCCATCTGCCCCCCAAGTCCAGCCCCATCTCCAAGTCCTATCCCACTTCCCTCCACCTCCACTGCCAGCTCCCACCCCGACAGCCGGAGCTTCCCTCTGCCATGGGGGCCCAACAGGAGTCACGGGGACTCTCAAACCAAAACCGGACCCTGTCCACACACCTCGGTGGTGTACCACCTCCCGCGGGGGACGGCCCCGACTCCTCACTCCTGGCTGAGCAAGCAGGTGCACAGTCTGGTCCTGCTCTCCCTGCCGCCAAGACACAGGCTTTCTCAGTCTTCCTGAAAGACTCCAAGTGTGTGCTGGTCTCAGGGCCACTTTCCAGCTGATTCCTCTGTCCCAGACCGCAGGGTGACTCCTCCTCAGAGGGCCCTTCCCCGACTCCCCGCCTAAGGCAGCCCCCCAGGCACTCAGCTGCATCGACCTACTTCAATTCTCCGCATCGCACTCGCCACTTTCTGATATTTTTGTGTATTTATTTTAATGTTTTATTAATTTTATTTTTATGAAAGTAAAACACACACAGCTAAAAGCATTCACTAACACTAGGGTGGCCAGGTGGCAACCTGGCATTGAACAACCTCCCAATGTCAGTGTTAACCTCCCAACCTGTGTGTCTCTGGGACCATATAGGTTTTCCAGAGAGTTCTTCAGCTTCCTGCCTGGTTTCCTCTGTACTGGGAGCAGGGCAGAGAGTCCCATCCTTAGGGGGAAGGACTTTCGCTGGATCTTCGTTTTCAGTTTAGCCCTGCGCCTGTCCCCTGTCCCTAACCCGGTGTCCACATGCAGAGCTCCCGGGTTCAGTCTTTCCGGAGGACAAGCCCGGACGCATGCGGGTCGGGGCGCGGTCTCCTGGCTGTGTGGGGTTTGGAAGCGGGCCTGGGGATTTCAAATATTACGTGTGCAGACTTTTGGCCAAGCCCCCTTTCCCATGGTCAGCTGCATCCTACACCCCCTTCCTCCCCGACTCTCGGGGTTCCAAGCGGAGAGTGAGCCCGTTTCCTCCTCCGGCCTCCTCTGTAAGCACTTTAGTTATAAATCGTCCGCTCTGCTGATCAGTGACCACTTTCTCATCTAGTCTCCGAGTGTGAGAGATTGCATTGAAATCTCTGTCCTCTTTGTCCTGATGGACAAGACTGAAAGAGACAGTTTCTTAATTCTTATGCATTTAGGATTTTTGTCTAATATTTGAGTGGAGTTTGGGGAAGATCAGATGACTGTCTGTGGTTTCCACTATTTTCTTGACAGCCTGCGCATCAGTTTACCTCTCGTTCACCCCCAGGGGTGTGCTGGTGAAAACGAAAAAAGCAGGCAAGGCCCGATTTGTGGTGTATGCTAATCTCTGTGGTGTAAATATTCCCAGCATGGCTGACTTCAAGCCACCAACAGATGCTATGGGAACCGAAGAGAAATGAGCACAGTAGGCTCGCGTGGGCGGGGGGCTCCAGGGCACCGCCGCCACCCTTCTCCCCGGCAGCATACAGTCTCCGTCAGAGCAGGGACCTTATCCGTTTTGTTGCCTGGTACACAAAAGTCACTCAGGAAATGTTGAATAAATGAATAAATAAACACATAAAACTAGTTAGTTTTGTTTGACTCTGTGTTCTCGGACTGAGCCGTAACTGAGTGGCAAGCCCAGGCCAAAGACTGAGCCCTGCTGCTAGCTATGCGCTAATCCCGACCCTGGTCACAGACTCAGCCCTGCTGCCGAGCTCAGCCCGGACTTGTGACCTGGACCTTGACAACCCAGCACTCAGATGGGACTGGTGGTCTTACAAGGTGAGAAAGTGAGGCTGGCTCATTAGTATGGCTTTTTGTGCGGAGGGAGGGGTGCGAGCCACCGCTCTGGCAGCAGGCTCTCAGAGGCCACTGAGGACCCAGGAAGCAACCCTCCCAAACTCTGCTGGGCTGGGCACCCCTCCCGCCCGGGCTGATCTAAGCCTCCCATGGGCACGCCCAGCCTCTTTCTCCAGGCCACTCTTCTGGGCCTGCAGGCCCAGCTAATGGCTTCCCAGGCCACTCGGAAGGGATGCATTATTTATGGCTGGTAATTGATACGGAGTTGCCCAAGAGCGTCCCACTGGAATTCAGGCCAGACAGCTGGAGGCCAGGGCTTGCCCAGCCCTAGCCCACATGTGCAGACACAGGCACATACAAAGAAATAAGTTTTAAAGTAAAGATGTGAACACGTGTGGTAGTTCTCCCATTCATTCATTCATTCGGGAGGAAGTCAGGTAAAGCACGGTGGGGGCCGTGTTAAAATTCTGTTATATGTTTGGGCATGAAAATGAAAATTAGATAACAGCAAGGGGGACTGGCTGCTGCACTACAGGGAGCAAGCTTTGGAGAGAGGCTAACCCTGGGGGGTACCTGTGGCAGAGGGCAAGGCGTGCACAAGAGACAGAGGACTGGGGAAGTCAGCAGGAGCCACCCCAGGCAGAACCTTGTAGCCATCATCAGATGTTTTAAGGTTGTCAGCCTTTATTTAAAGAGCAAAAGAAACCATTAAATGTTTCAAGCAGAAGGGCGGCCTGGGGAAAGTGGCAGTATGGCGATCTAGGTGAGCATTTCGAAAGGACGGTGCTGACCACAGAGTGGAGGACGGACTGGTCGGGGCCAGGGTGGATGGGGAACACCAGCTGAGAGGCTACTGCTGTAGTCCATGCCAGAGAGGACCAGATACGGACTAGGGTGGAGACGGTGGAGATGGAGATAAGAGGATAAGAGATGTATTAGGAGGTGAGAGTGTCAGCACATGGCATGGATTGGAATGGGGGTGAGGAAGAGGGCAACCTGCTTTGAGGACAGATTTTGGCAAGCTTCATACTCACAGGGTGTGAGGGGCCCGGATGCCCCCTGCGTCACCCTGAGAAGGAATGACTGACTCCTCAGAGGGAAACTGCAGATGGGCAAAATGACTCTCAGCCCTGTCACTGGCTGTGACAGCCCAGGGGCTTCTCAGGAAGGGCCAGTGAGACCCTCGGAGCCCAGCTCCTGATTCTTCCCGTACTTAACTTGGACACACGTGCCTCCCTCAGTCGACTGGAGGGCTGTCAAGGGTCCTAGCACTGCAGGGCCTCATTCGTTAGATGGGTGAACTGAGGCCTGGAGGCGGGAAGGAGCCTTCTGTGCTGGGGGGCGGGGGAAGGGTAGGACCACTTGGTGTGTCAGAAGCAAAGCAGGACCTGAGCCTGCGCCTCTGGCTTCCAGCCCCCAGGACCTTATGGCAGGGAACTTGCAGCCTTATGGGCAAGATGGAAGCGACTCGGCCCCACAGAATACAGGGCAGCTTGATGGTAGCAGGGGCCAGGAGGGAGCAGGAGGTCCCCACAGGGGAACACACAAGGGCTGGAGGCCCGTCACGCCTCCCTCACTCTGACTTTGGGTACGTCCCTTTTCCTCTCTGGGCCTCGGCTTCACTGTGTGTCCAGTAAGCCAAATGGACTAGCTGGACTCCGAGTCTATGACAAGCTCTGTGCTGGCTCGGGGACCCTAGCTGGGAAGGAGCAAAGTACAAGTGCCAGTTCACGCTTGGGCCTGTCTTGAGGGCCATCCCCTGTGCCCTGCTAAAATGCCCCATTCCCAGAGGACCGACTAGAGAAAGATAACATAATCCAGAATCTCTAAAATGTGTCATCAACAATGTGTAGCATATGATGAGAATTATTAGTTATGCAAATAAGCAGGAAAAAGTGATCAATTATCAAGACATAAAGCAGTTAATAGAAGCTGACCTATGAAAATATTTGACTTAATAAATATAAGGACTTCAAAATAACTATGATTAATATGTTAAAGAAAGGGGGAAAGATGGACAAAATGCATGTATTGATAGTGTTTCAGCAGATAGAATCTATGAAAGGAATCAAATCAAACTTTTAGTACCTTTAATATACAGTGTCTAAAATCGAGCACTTGGATGGGTTTAACAGCAGACTGGACATGGCAGAAATAGGGTTCTTAAACTTGAAGATAAATCTATAGAAAAATACCAAAACTTATAGAGA